CTTTCCTCCCTCCTACCCAGTCTCTGCCCATGTCACTCCCTCTCTGTCCCTCCTCCTCCCTCTGTCACTCTTTTTTTCTGGCGCTTTTGCACCGCCTCACACACATTCGGCCTGTGGAGTTTGCAGTGAACACACCTGAGGTCACTTTCTGCATTGACCCTCATGCATCTGACCCTTTTGACCCGAGCTGCATCCTCCGGCCCCAGTCACAGCGACAGAAGCCGACAATAGGGCATTGAGTGGCATGCATGCTGAGGCTGGGCCACCACGTGGTGCTGATTGAGCCTCACACCCTGGGCCCCTCCCCCTCCATGCAGGGCCCTCGCCTGTCTCAGTTTACCTTCTCACTGCCTCCCAGCCTATCCTCAGGATGGGTCTCTGCCTAAGTGTCCCCCATGGGAGTGGCCAGGCCTTCAAGGGCTTCAAGGCCCTTGTGTGACCTCTGACCACACCCTCTCCTCTTTGTGCATCAGTTTCCCTTTTCCAAATAGGGGAACAGATGAGAGGAAGCCTAGGGGTGATGGGCCGTTGCGGGGGTTCTGCGGGTCCTCAGGAGGTCACACTCTCCTTCTCAGACCTGGATGAAAAGCTTGAGATGCGGGGAGGGAAAGGCGGTGGCCTGAGGTGAGCGTGTGAGGTGAGTCAGGTGGGCGGGTCCCAGGGTGCAGGAGGGGAGAGGCCCAAGGGTGGAGGCATCCCCCCACCCGCCGTGCTCGCCACAACTCGAAAAAGAGGCCCAGGAAGACACACAGTGTACAGACACATAGGGAGAGACAGGAAGAGGGGGAAGAGGGAGGCCTGGGCGCTGGGACCAGACAAAGGACGCGCGTCGGCGCGGCGAACAGAGTCGCGGGGCGGGGGCGAGGGCGGAGCCGGGGCGGGGTCAGATCTGGCCAGCCCCGCCTCCGGGATACGCCCGGGCTGCGGAGGGGAAATCCGAGGGCTCGGGCGAGGCTGGGCCCCTAGGGCCCTAGGGGGCGGGGCCTCGATGGGCGTGGACCAGACAGGGCGTGGCCGGCCGGGCGGGGCCGCGAGCTCGGGAGCTGACCAGCTCGATGGATGCTGAAGGCGCCGGGCGCCGGACGAGTGGCGCGGGCCGGCGGGCGAGCGTACTCAAGGTCACCCCGCGGCCCAGAACCCTGGCGGGGTGGGGCGCCTGTGTATCGGTCTAGGTGGGCTGCCTCAGCCCTCTAGACCATCTCCCGGGAGGCGGGGGCCCAGGAGCCCGAAAGCCCCCCCGCGAGCCCTCCTCTCCCCTCCCCCTCTCCGCAGCCCGAGGCGCCCGCGCGAGGCTACCGCCCGGGAAGAAACGCCGAGAAACAAAGGGACGCGGCGGCGGCGGCGGCGGGCCCGCGGGGCCTCCGGGCGCGCCCCCTCCCCTCCCCGCTTGCCGCAAGGTCGTCGGGCTCGAGGACGAGACGCCCGGCTCCCGGGCGAGGCCGAGTCCCGGCGCGCGCGATCCTACGCCACCCGCCTCCCCGGGGCCCTCGGGGACTCCCTGCCCGCCTTGGCCTGGCCTAGCATCAGTGATCAAGGCCCTGCGTTTGCCTGGGCTGCCTGCGAGGTCCGGGCCTGGATGGAGGCGGCATCCTCCGCCTCTGCGGCCCCTCCCCCATCAGGCCAGCTTTGGGGAGGTGGGCAATCTCGCCCCCAGGTCCGCGTAGGAAACCCTCTGAATCGCAACCCAGCTCCCCAAGTCCTACCAGGTCAGGCTCTAAGCTCCTCCAGCACTCTGGGCGCGGCCCTGCCCACTCTCAGGCCCCGAGGCTCGGTCCTACCCCCCCACCCAGGCCTAGCTAGGCCTGGTCCTACCCCCCCCCATCTCCGCGGAACCTGGGCCCAACCTCTCCCCGTCTAGGTTTTCCCTTGGCGACAGGAGAATACCTACAGTGACCATTCTTGTGTGCCCGGCGGGCGCGGTCCGTATAGAGGGCGGCTCCGGGGGTCGTGCACTCCGGTGGGGGGCGCCCGATGCTCACGCCGGGGCCCGCCCGGGCAGCCTCTGGAGCGGCGGCTGCAAAGGCGTCGGTGAAGGCAGCGGCTCCCTCGAGGGTCGGGGACGGGCCCGAGCCCGGGGGCACGCGCGCTGACGACCGGGTCCCGGGGTGGCCGGCGGGCGGCAGAGGATGGAAAGAGGGCGCGGGGTTAAGGACGCCCCCTGCGCGGCCCCGCGGGGCCCGGGGAAGTTGCGTTTCCAACAGAATTCCCAGCGCTCTGCCCAATCGCCGCCGCCCCCTCGGCCCGGCCTGTCCGGTCCCGGGTGCTCAGTTGTCTGCCCTCGCCCGCCCTCCCTCCCTCCCGCCGACCCGTGATGCGCGCTCCGAGCTCTGGGCCGCGCCGCCGCCGCCCCCAGCCCTTTATAGCAGCAGCTGCCAGCGCCGGCGTCGCTTATTGGCTGAAGCTCCCGAGCCCCGCCCCCTCGCGGCACCCGACGGCGCGGCAGGTGGAAGCGGGCACGCGCCGGCGCGGACTCTCCACATCCGAAAGCTCATCTTGGGGCTCCGGTTGCCACATTCCAGCTCGCCTGCCTCGGCAGACCATGCTCCTTGCCTTGGCTCCTCTTCTTGGGTGGACTGTTTGCTCTGGCGACATGGCAGGTTTCCCTCTTCTGTCCAGCATCCGAGATGCTGGGGAGGGGCGCAGAGGGCGGAGAAGGTATTAAAAAAAAAAAAAAAAAACAACAAAAAAAAAAAAACCCAAACTCACTGCCATCGAGTCGATTCCGACTCATAGCGACCGTATAGGACAGAGTAGAACTGCCCCATAGGGTTTCCAAGGAGTCCCTGGTGGATTCGAACTGCCAATCTTTTGGTTAGCAGCCGTAGCTCTTATCCACTACCCCACCAGGGTTTCCAGGAGAAGGTATAGGTGTCCCAGTCTCCCAGAGGCGCTGTCCACGAGAAGACTGGAACGGGATGGGGAACCAAGATTTCAATGGGAAGAGACCTGGGTCTCCAGAGTTGGGGACACCAGGTGTAGCCCTTCAAGACATGGGGGTGGGTGGTTAATGACTGGGGCCCTAATCTATCTGAAAAGATACTGGGACCCTGTGGATTGTTAGGAGTGGGTTAGGTGCGTCTAGGGTTCAAAAGGTGGGGACTAGTGCCCCACAGTGCGAGGGAACTCCGCACTGCTCCAAAGGGGAAAGATGTTTGTAGTTCAGAGTACCATCCAGTTCCCGTTGGCACTCTGCAACCGCAGGAAGCCATGGGCTCTCGGACCTCACAATACTCGCGTGAGTGGATCTGCCATTTAAATATCCTGGCTTTCCGGGCTCGTGATTGGTCTCCCAGACTTTGGAGTCACGCTCCTCTTCTGGTAGGGGGACCCGGCCTCTCTCTAAGACGATCGGGGAGATGCAACGTCCTTTGATGCGAGGACGCACGTGCATGCTCTTGTCGGGGTAGCCGCTAGGCCCGGGGACGCGCTCTCACTGTGGCTGGGGGCGCCTTTGAGTTCAGCTTCAGCACCATAGACAGCGGTCCGACGGCTCAGTCGAGGGCGCTGGGAGTGGGCAAGTTAGTCCGGAATCCCCTAAACCAAGAGTCGTAGCCTCCACCCTATCCTCGTCCCTGCAAGCCCCTGTGGACTCTAGACTCTGTCCGAGAGTGTCATTAAACCCAACGAGGAGAGCCTAATTTGACCAATCAGGGAGGGCCCTAGGGAGAACCAATAGCAGGAGGATGCCTTAGAGATTGAGCCAATCAGAGCGCGGGCAGCAGAGGGCCCTGCCAGACTGATGGAGACGGCAGGCCAATCACAGTGGCTCCGCAATCGAGGCCGTGGCTGTGCGGACCCTCGGGTGGCCTGGCCTGGGCCTACCGGGGCGAACCCAGCCGCTGGCTGTGGCGACCTCGAGTGATCGCTTGTTCCCTACTCCGTGCTCTTCCCAGATCGGACGCTGCGTCAGGAGGGGGGCTACTCCTGGGCGCACAGACCTGGCTGCGGTTCCCATGGAAACTGCCGGCTCTGGCTGCGGCCGTGCGAGAAGAGCGAAGGGTACTTAGCCTAAGGGGTGGAGGGCGACCCCAGGGGCCTTATTCTCACTGATTCTTTCGTCCCCGGCCGGGATAGCCCCTGATCCAAAGCGAAAACTGGGGCCTAGCTGTGTGGCTCCGACCCGCCCCCCACCCCCCTCGAGCTGGTGAGGAGCCGCTAGGGCCAATCTCCGCGTGGCGCCACAGGGCTCCCCTGGGCACGTGCCCAGGCTCGCGGCTGCTGTCCCCAGGGTCACGTGGCCACAGCCACCCGGGCCCACGCGGCTCGCACGCCACCTGGCGGCCGCAGCAGGAAGGAAGCGCGCAGCGGGGTATCGCTCCCCGGCCCTTCCCCTGATGGCCGACAGGAGGCGGCGGCCTCGGCATCCTCCTCCGGGAAATGGGGCCAGCCCCTGCCAATCCACACCCCTTCCTGTTTCAGGAAAAGGCCGAGCTGGTTCTACCTTGGGGACCTGGCACTGGCTGTTCCTTTAGCCTGGGACTTGCCTCCTCCAGCTTTCTTCAGGGATAGATCCTCTTTGTCATTCCGGTCTATGCTCAAATGTCACCTCCTGAGAGGCCCTCCCTAAAACCAACAAATCACTGTTTTCTGTATGGTGCTTGTCATAGCTGTAAATGTTGTATTTAGGATTTTAGTGCACATCTTCCCACTGGTCCCTGAGCACTCTGATGGTGGGGACTGCAGCCGACGCTCAACAAATGTTTACTGCGTGTTCTGTGAGGGATTAGGACTGGGCATCGGGACCCTGAGTAGTGGGAGGTGCCCAGTGGCCTACCAGGCCCCTGGCCTTGTGGAAGGTGGTTGCGGGGTTGCAGGGCGCAGGCAGCTGAGGAAGTACAGAGGGCCGTCCGGCTATGGAAGCATTCCCCCGTCCCGGTCTTGGAGGGCAACAGGCAGCGGAGGGGGCTTCAGTACCTGCTCAGGAAGGGACCCGGTTGGAGATGGACAGGGCTCCACTCCCCACCCACGCTGCCCAATTATCCAGGCCTAAGGGAGGTGCGTCTCCCTTCTCACTCTTTAATCTCATTTGCTCTCTTGACACAGTTCAAGCCGTGCAGCCCCAGGCGCCAGCTCCGGAGGTGGGATGGGGTAGGGCAGGGGGACCTGCCCAGGGGGCCCAGTCCTGGGGCGGGGCGGGACACCTCCTTCCGGCCCGCGGTCTCGGAGTCCCCGCGGCTGTCCAGGCACCGGCAGGCCCGGGTGAGGTATCCAAGCGGACAAATAAATAGGAACGGTCAGTGGTCAGGTGGGTCAGGCGGGTTTGTGGTCCGGGTGGCTTTTGAGTGTGTGGAACTTGACGCTGTCCAGCTTCTCGAACCGCTTCCCGCAGCGCTCGCACGTGAAGTTGTACTGCACCTCTGCCGTGTGCTTCTTCATGTGCCAGTTGAGCGACGCGCGCTGCCGGCACTGGTAGCCGCAGATCTCGCACCTGTGGGCAGCGGGCAGCACCGCAGGCAGGTCAGAGCAGGCACAGCCTAGGGGTGGGGACAGGCTGGCAGCCGGCAGGGGACGCCTTAGGGGCGGGGCTACTCGGGAGGAGCCCATTCATCGGGGGCCCACATGTAGCGCCATCTGGGGTGGGCACTCCCATGGAACTGGGCAGAGGCACGGGGGGGTGGAGCCAGCCCAGGGGACACCCCTTCTGTGGGTCCAGGCCTGGAGCCCTTCCTCCCATCCCGCTGCCGGGTGATCTCTCACTCACTGCAGGGGCGTCTCTCCCGTGTGCGTGCGCCGGTGGACTTCTAGGTGGTTCTTTCTCTTGAAGGACTTGCCGCACGTCTCGCAGGTGAATTCGCGGACACCTGGGGGTGGCGGAGATGCCGGGCTGAGGGTGCTGCCGTCTAGGGGGCTGTGGGGTGTCTCTGATGTGATGCAGAGATGGGGTAGCAGGCTCTGACAGGCGGCCCAGGGCAGTCACACCAAATCCTACATCCCCTTGGTAGGAATGCCGATTAACAATGAGCAGCCAACGTGAAGGGGGGTCTCATGGGCCAGCAAGACGCTCAGCAGACTGCCCGGGAACACACGGAGACCCGGTGGAATTTGAACCGAAGTCTGTGAGGGGCAAGGGTGGCCTCTGCTTGTGTCACCCACCCAGCCATGGGCCTGACCTGAGTGGATGATCATGTGCCGCCGCAGGTGGTTGGACAAATAGAACTTCTTGCCGCAGCCAGGGTGAGGGCACACTTTGGTCTTCCCTTTCCGATGCACGAGGTTGACGTGGTTCTGCGGGTAAGAGGGGCAGGTATAGGGCTGTGGGTTCCCCTGTGGGACTCTCGAGGCTGGGGAGAGGTAAGGGTATCTGGGACGCAGGCTGGGGCTGACCTAGCCTGGAAGAAAAAAGAGGGGTGCCTCTGCCCCGGGAGAGACTCCCAGCTCTGAGCTGGAGCCCTGGGGCACAACTGGGACCAAACAGCATTTATTGAGTGTCTACTCTGGGCCAGGCTCTGGGCTGGGCATCAGTCAATCCTCCCACGGTCCTGTGAAGAGCCTGGCTGCTCAGCCAGTTTATGGATGGGGAAACTAAGGCTCCAGAGGCTCAGTGGTTTGAGGCATGCATTACAAGTGGGCAGCGGAAGGACTGGGACTGGATTCCAGGGCTGTCAGCCCACAGCGACTCTGACAATGTGCTACATTGCCCCTTGGGACCTGGAGCGGGCAGCTCTGAGTCATTTATTCCTTTGTTCTTGCATTCTTTAACTCACTGGAATGACTGCAGCTTGGCACTGCAGAGATGCCTGGCATACAGTAGATGCTCATATTTACTGAAAACATGGTTCAGCAAATTTGAAGGCCTGGAGCCCCCTCTGTGCCAGGTGTGGGGAGATGAGAAGACCCCGTCTTCGTCCTCAGGGGCACCCTGTTCAGACTCTAGAGGGCACACCAGCAGTTCCATCCTGGTGGTGCAGTGACCTGGGACTTCAAGGCCAGTGGTACTGGGCAGGTGGGTGGGGCTGGCGTGCCGCCCACACTGTGTGTTGTTTGTGTGAACACTCGCCAACCATACATGCCGCAGAGTCCCGGACCCACCACCCCTGAATGCACAGTCCACACCCTAGCAGCCCTCCACGAACCACCCAGCCCAGCCCAGAGTCCCTGGGGCCCCCACCCAGCACACAGGCTGCCAGCACAGAAGCAGGCCCTGCCCACTCCGCTTCAGGTGGAGACCTCACCTGGAAGCTGCTGAGGGCCACGTAAACCTGGCTGCAGCCCTCGTAGGGACAGTGGAACATCTCGAGCAGGCCATCAGCGTCCATCACCCGCGACCGCTTGCTCCGCCGCCTCCTGGAGGGGGAAGGGGCCCGTGGAGTCAGGGTTCCCACCTCAGGCAGGCTTGGTGCCTGCTGGCTACCCCTCTGACACAGCCTGCTCGCCCCGGGCACCCACTTCTCAGGCTCCTTGGGGATCTCGTAGATGATGGCAGACATGTCACTGCCGTCTAGCTCCTCCCCGTCGGCCTCTGCCTCTGGCTCTGTGCTCTCGGGCACTGCTGCCACCAGCTCTGCCAGCTCTGGGGCCACTGACTCCTCCTTCTCCTCCTTCTTGAGCATGTACAGGTCCTCCTTCTCTACGGGGGGTGGACATGGCAGGGGTGTCCGTGGGGGATGAAAGCTGTCAAGGAACCCGCTCCCAAGGCCACTCTTTGCCCTCTCCCTCCCAGGCCCCATCCCAACCCCTGCCAGAGGCTTAGGCGACCCTCCCTGGACCTGCACGGCTGCCAGACCTTTCTTGGTCTCGATGCCTGCCGTGGTAGCGGTGTCCGTGGTGGCGATGTCCGTGGTGCTGGGCTGGCTACCCTCAGGCTCCGTCTGGGTGTAGGCCGCCACACCCTCCATCATGGCACAGGGCACCTCCTCACCCAGACTGCTGCCAGCGGCACCGCTGCCCGCTGCCACGTTGAGGTGGATGCCCTCAGCTGTGAGGGTGTCATAGCCTGGGCCTGCGATGATGATCACCTGTGAACCGGGCACCATGCCTGGCATGGGGCAGCTGGCCACCACCTCGCCCAGGGCCTCCTGGGGCACGTTCTCAAAGAGGGTGCCAGGGCCTGCACCCACTTGCATGGGCACTGGCACACACACCACCGTCTCCAGGGCTTCGGGCCCACTGCCTGCTGGGTTGGGGCACAGGGGGGTGCCCTGCTCAGCCAGGTTCTCCACGTGGTGGACATCAAAGGGGATATGCATGCCCTCCTGCGTGATGAGGCCAATGCTGCCCGCCGGGCTGGTGGGGGTCGCTGCTGCCGAGGCCTTAGCCGGCTGGCCCTCAGGGGGCTCCTCAGAGTCAGAGCCAGAGCCAGAGCCAGAGCCAGAGCCAGAGGAGTCGGAGCTGCCAGCCACCAGGCCATTGCCCACTGTGGAGACAGAGGAAGGGGACAGTTACAGCAGGAGCGGAAGCAGCAGCAGCAGTTGGTATTTGTGGAGAGCTCACCAGGTACCGGGCACTCTGACCCCCTCACTGCCAACAACATCGTCCCTTCTCAGTCCCCATCTACCTCGACTGCTCCAAGACGCCTGCTCCCTGGAGATGCTCTCCTCGCCCGGCCTCCAGGACCCTCCTCTTTGGTATCTTGGTGCCTCCCTGGCGGCTCCTTCTCAGACTCCTTTGCTCCTGCAGGTGCACAAGGCCCCTCACGCCTGGCCCTCTCCTCAGTGCTGGGAGTGTGACATGCCACCTCTACCTTGGAGACTCACACGGGGGTCGCTCCTCCGCGTCAAGCCCCAACCTCTCCCATCTCACTGTCTCCTGCACTGCTGCTCCCCATGGGGCCTCACAGGCACCTCAGACTGAACACGGCCACTGAGCTCTGAATCTTCTCTCAAAAAAACCGGCACCTTCATGGCCATCCCCATGCCAGCTGACGGCAGCTCTGCCCTTCCAGTTGCTCAGACCCAAATCCTGGGGTTATCCTTGACTTCCCTCTTTCTCTCACACCCACTCCCACCCGTCAGCAACACCTGTTGGTCCTGCATCCAAACTCCATCCACAGCCTGACTGCTTCCCTCACATCCCCTGCGCACCCTGGTCACCACCCCATCATCCCCTGTCAGGGCCAGTGCGGTCCCTCCTCCCTGGACTCCAGCTTCCACCTGTGCCCCCTGCCAGTCTGTTCCCCCCAACGGTGGCCAGAGTATGCCTGTGAACACCTGCCAAGGTCTCCTAGCTCTTCAACTGAGAACCCTTGCATCACTTCCTGTTACGACACAGGTCAGAAGTTCACCAAACATGTGTCTCTTCCTCCTGGCACCCAGGCGAACTACATTTCCCAGCATTCCTTACAGTTAGGTGTAGACATATGGCTGAGTCCCGACCAACGGAATGTGAGTGGAAGTGATCTCCCATGGACGATCCTCTGCCTCTCTGTCCCCATCAGACAGACAGACAGAAGGAGGCTGAGGCCACCGGATGGAAGGCAGCCTGCAGGTCGAGAGTGCTGAACTTCGTGTGTGTGTGGAACAAACTCCTGAGTTACGGCAAGAGAGTGTAACTGTCTGTTTTGGTAGCTGGCATTGCCTCACTAGTGCCTTGCCCAGTTCACGTGGAGTAGAAGCCAGAGTCCTCACTACGGCCCACACTGCCCTGCACAGTCTGCCCGTCACCTCCTACCCACATCTCCCATTCGCCCTCGCCTCTCTCTCCACTCCAGCCTCACAGGCCTCCCTGCTGTTCCTCAGAGACACTAGGCAGGTTCCTGCCTCAGGGCCTTTGCAGTTGCCATTTCCTCTGCCCGAAACCGTCTTCTCTCCAACACACATGGGGGCTTCCTTTCTCGTCTCCTTCAGACCTTTCACAAAATGGTATTTTTTCACTGAGGTCTTCCCTGGACACTCCGTCTCAACTAGTACCCTTTCTGTCCTTTATTTTCTGCCAAAGTCCTTACCACCTTCCAGTATACTCTATATTTCACTTGTTTATCTTGTTTACTGTCTGCTTCCCTTCTAAAATGTAAACTCCCCAAGGCCAGGGATCCCTGTGCAGAGTCCCCAGTGCCCAGAAGGGTGCCTGGCACAGTGGGTAGTCATTGCATGTATAAATAAAAAAGAACAAATTCTCCCACCAATGCTGAGATGAAGGCCGAGGGGACTGACATCCTACCCAGGTATCTGATGCTAAATCCACACACAGAGAAAAACTGGGGACAGGAAAAATGAACAACTCCCTTAAATTACATACTCGTGACACAGGTGGGGCCATGCTGTCTGGAGATAACATGTCCTATGCCACCAAGGATCACAGACTCTGAAGCCAGACCACCAGGGGTCGAATCTGGGTACCCGCCTCCAGCTGTGTGACATGGGCACGTTACTTAACCTCTCTGGGCCTGGTTCCTTGCCTAAAAAGATGGGAACAATGATTACACCTACCCCAGGGAGGTGTTTTGGATATTTATTGAGTAAATATATGTAAAGGGTTTTAGGACTGGCTTCAGGAAGTAGCCTATATGTGTTTTCTATTATTATGCTATCATTATTATCAGAGTGCCCCTCTGGGCAGGGAGGCCTTGAGCTTGGTAATATCTCACTGTCCTGTGATCTGTAAGCCCCTGGCTTCACCCTGAAGGAGGGGGCAGGTCATGCGGCCTGAGGTGACCTAGCTGGGGGCAGAGCTGGGCATGTGTTGGGGTCTACCTAGGCCGACTCTGGACCTCTCTCCAGATGATGATAACCACGACAGAAATGACTGTGCACTGCATGCTGGGAGTACTCCAGGTCCCATGCCCAGAGCTGGTAAATGGTGCTGTGTGAGGAACCAGGGCTGGGATGTGAGGGACCAGAGCAGGGATGGGTACACACAGCCACCCCCAACACCACCCCATACTGCCCACCGCAGACCTGGCTAATCGATCATTTCTGAGAGCCCAGATCCGGCAGCCACTAGCGTCAAAGTTGGGTTGGGGTGCAAGGGGGCTCTTCTGGGTGCCACCCTATCCCAGCCTGACCTGTCACCAGATGGGCCAGTCATGTTACTCCTGGGTCTTGGGTTTCCTTGTATGCCAAGTGGGGCTAATGACAGCACTGACTCCTAGGCTGTGGGGGAGGACTCAGGGTGGCCAGGTGCAGGACCTCGAGTAGGGCACAGTGAAGGGGGCAGTGACAGGCAGGAGGGCTGGCACTGGACACAGGACAGTACAGCTGAGGGGCTGGCTGCATGCTGGGAGCCTGGCTGACACACAACGGGATAGCTGTTGGCGAGGGTGCCCACCCGGAACACCTCTCGCCCACGGCTTCTCCTCCACCAGCTGGGATGCCACCTGCTCTGAGACGCCTGCCAGCACAGGCTCAGCCCCAGTGACTGACCCCACCCTCAGCCCTGGCAGAACGTCTGGCAGGGGACCCCACACTCCTCACAGCTGATGCCAAGCCCCTGAGGCAGGCTGGCCGGCCCCCTCACCCCCTACAGTGTCTCCTCTCCTTCCCAGCAGGGCCAACTGGGCCATCTTCTTAACTGAGTCACTCCTGGCCCCTAGCAGGTGACAGTCATCCCCTGTGGGTGACCAGTGTGGGAGGAGGGGAGAGACAGTCAGAGATGGGAAGGGGGAGTGACGAGGAGGAGGGAGGGAAAAGGAAGGAGACAGAAGGAGAGGAGATAGAGAGAGAGGAAGAAACAGAGAGAAGACAAAAGACAGAGGAAAGGGGAGAGAGAGAGCTAAGAGAGGAAACTGGAGAGTAAGGAGAAGGAGAATGGGGTGAGGGGAGAACATCTGGGAAGACAGAGGGAAAGAGAATGAGACTGGGGGACACAGAACCCAAGACAGAGAAAATGAAGGAGGAAGAAGCAGCAGAGAAAAGCAGCAACCGTGGGGTCTGGGCACCCAGCAGCTCCACCCCTCGTGCCAGCCGCCAAGCCAGGGCTCCCAGGCTCCCAGTCCAGCCCTGCCTGTGACTGGCCTTGGGCACAAATGGCCCACCCGCGCCATGCCTCAGCTGCCCCTGTAAAGGTGGAGAGGCGGACTCAAAGACTGAAAGTCTATGAAACACTCAGCCTGAGCCCATCACATCCACGCTACAGCCTTGAGCACCAGCGCCCTTGCTGCTATGTTTGTGATGCTGGCCTGAGGCTGGCAGGGCCTTTGGCTGGGCAGGAGGGTGGGAAGCCCAGGCCGGGCTGACCCTGGGAGGGGCTGCAGAGTGGCCACCACCATACCCTCACCCCGAGGCCCACCTTTGTCACTGTCGGGGTCTGAGTCGCTGAGTGGCTTCAGGGGTGAGTGCAGGTCTTGGAAGTAGCGGTGGCCGGCTTCGCACTGCCACACGGCTGTGGTGTACAGGCCAAAGGTGGGGTCCAGCTCGGCAAGGTGTGGCTCGTACGGGCAGCGGTGCTTGTGGTCCTCATACCAGATCACCACATTCTTCAGGCAGTTCACATTTCGTCGTCGCCCTGCGGACGTGGGGCGGGGGGTGTGCGGTGAGGGGCAGTGCTTGGTCCTGCAGGTCTCCAGAACTACCCGGGCCTTATGGGCTCCTGTGGGTTGAAACACCTTCCTAAGCCTGTCTAGTCCTGTCCCCAGTTTACAAATGAGGAAACTGAGGCTCAGAGAGGTGAGAGACTCACTCTGGAGATAATGAGTACTGGTCCAGGGACTATCCTCACTGGATGAGTTGTCATATGAAGAAGAGTGTCTGGCACACAGTAGGCGCACAACAATTGTTGGCTGCTTGTTACTGCTATAATCATGCTCACCAATGCCTCCCACCTGGACCAGTGCAGCTGCCTACTCCCTGGCTCCCCACCCTCCCTCCAACAGTCTAGCCTCCCCACAGCAGCTGGAGGGTGCCTGTGAACACCTGAGTCAGAGAATGTCACTCCTCTGTTTAGAACCTTCTATGGCTTCCACCTTGAAGCAAAAGCCCAAGTCTTCACTGTGACCATTTTCTACTGTCTTCTACCTCCCCACCCTCATTGCCTCAGCTGCTGTCTCAGAGGGCCTGGAAGGTTGGAAGGTGAAGCCCAGGGCAAAGGGGCCTCTACCCAGAATCCAGAGGGTGGGGCCATTGCCCAGATGGTCTCAGAGAAGAGAGGGTTATTTTCAAGCCTTGAGACCCAACCCATTGCTGTCGAGTCGATTCCAACTCCTAGCGACTCTACAGAACAGAGTACAACTGCCCCATAGGGTTTCCAAGGAGCTGCTGGTAGATTCAAACTGCTGATCTTTTGGTTAGCAGCCCAGCTATTAACCACTGTGCCACCGGGGCTCCAAGCCTTGAGAGCTAATGTAAATTATTCCACTGTGTTCTGGATTTGCTTGGTGCCTGTTGCCCCTTCTTTCCCTCCAATTTCTCCCATTTGTAATGGAAAGGTCTACCTTGTGCCCGTTCCACCATTGTACTTTGGAAACAGATAACTCGTATTCTAGATTCCACAGGTTCACAGATGAAGAGGAGTTTTGCCCCAGGATGGACTACGCCTAAAGTCTCCCCCACATTTGATTTAGATGATTCAGAGGATGAGATTTTGGACTTGGAGGTGATTTTAGACTTTCGGGGTGATGCGATGGGGTGGATATGTTTTGCATGTGGCAAGGACATGAATTTTTGGGGCCAAAGGGTGGAATGTTATGGATTGAACTGTGTCGCCCAAAAATATGTGTTGTAAATCCTAACCTCTATGCCTGTAGTTACTATCCCATTTGGAAACAGGTTCTCTTTGTTATGTTAATGAGACAGTATCAGTGTAGGCGTGTTTTAAATCAATCTCTTTGGAGACATAAGAGATTAAACAAGCAAGCAAAAGAAGCAGAGATGGGGAAGAGAGATGCCAAGACACATGAAGATTGCCCAGGAGCAGAAGCTCAAAGAGACAAGGACCTGCCTCCAGAGATGACAGACAGAAGTGCTTCCCCTGGAGCCGGCACCCTGAATTTGGACTTCTGACTCCTAAATTGTACGAAAATAAAATTGTTTCTGTTTGTTAAAGCCACCCACTTGTGGCATTTCTGTTATAACAGCACTAGACAACTAAGACAGCCTCCCACTCCCTCCCTTGCCCACTCTGGTCCAGCCACACTGGTCTCCTCGCTGCTCCTCAAACATGTCAGGTACAGTCCTGCCTCAGGGCCTTTACACAGGCTGTGCTCGCTTCCCTTCACTCAGGTCTCTGCCCAATGTGCCCTCCTCTGAGAGGTGCCCCTGACCTCACTCAGCCTGCTGCCCCCTCTCCCCCATCACTCTAATCCACTTTACCTTGCTGTCCTTTTTCTCCCAGTAGCACCTAGATACCGTCTGGTGGTTATCTGTCCGTTTCCCCAACTAAAACATCAGCTCACCATGGGCAGGGACATTTATCTGCTTTGTTCCTGCTGTGTGCCCAGGCCAACACAGGGCTGGGTACACAGCAGGTGCTCTATGAACTTTTGCTGGATAGTCAGTGCTGTGAGGGAGTGGGTATTATATGGCCAGATGGCCTGCGTTTTAATTCTGGATCTGCCACTTCCTAGTGGTGGCTCCAGGCAAGTACGAGGAGTGGAGCTGCTAGACGCCCAGACCCCATGGGCGCTGCTCTTCTCTGCTTCTTCTTCCTCCATTTTCTCTGTCTTGGATTCTGTGTCCCCCAGTCTCATTCTCTTTCCCTCTGTCTTCCCAGATGTTCTCCCCCTCACCACATTCTCCTTCTCCTTACTCTCCAGTCTCCTCTCTTAGCTCTCTCTCTCTCCTTTCCTCTGTCTTTTGTCTTCTCTCTGTTTCTTCCTCGGCTTCTCTGAACTCAGATGCTGCCCCTGGGTTGGGGCAGAATAAGGGTCCCCATTCCCTGAGGGTTGCCAGGGAGGGGAAGGGAGGAGACACTGACAGAGAATAGACAGGACAGGGTACACAGGGAGCACTCAAGCAGTGGTTCTGGTGACTAGTGTGATGCTCATGGTCCCGTGGCCGAGTGGAAGGTGTGTACCCCCATCAGGCTGGGTGATAAGAAGCGGGCCTGAGAGAGGTTCTTGGGCCTAGGGATCGTGTCTGGGCCTCTGACACCACCAGCAGCTGCCTCTCACGCCCAGCCCTTAGCTTCCTTATCTCACCCCACCTCTTTGGGATTTTGGGGTCACAGTCTCAGCTCGGCTCCACTTGAAGAACTGTGAGGACAGGGGTGCACTGCCACCAGAAGACCCTCCCTGGACCCTCCCCTGTTCAGCCCCGGGGTTCTGAAGCCATGCTGGGTGGGGCTGAGGCCAGCTGCCCAGAATAGGGCTCAGACTCCTGCAGTTGTGGCCAGGGGCCTCCCCACTGATGGCCCGCACCTCGCTGCCCTTGAGCCTGGCACACAATATGCCGTTTAGGCCTTTGCACAAGCTGTTCCCTCTTCCTCTCTCTTTTCTGGCTGACCCCACGCACCCAGCAGGAGAGTGGAGAAGCTACAAGGACTGCCGGGGAGACACATGACCTGGGTCTGAGGTCTGACTCTGCAGCTGTACAGCCTGGGGCGAAGACTCTACTTTGCTGGGCTCAGTTTCTTTGTGTTTGAAATGCGGATGATGAGAGCTCTCCTGTGGGACACAGTGCTGCCCACACACACAGCACACGTTCCAGTCCCCTCCAGGAATCCTTTCTGATCCCTACTGGGCTGGGCCAGTCGCCTCCTCTGGGCCTCCAGTGGCCCCTGTCCCCGTCCTAGCCCTGGTCAGCCTGCCTTCTGTCTTCCCCACAAGATTGGGCTCTTGTTCCACACAGCGCCTGGCACACGTAGGCCCTCCGCAAATGGCACGGAAAGAACAAGCGAGTAAAGGAACAAGGCCCCCACGGCCCGTGGGCTGCAGATCCACTTACTTTTCTTCCGCTTTGGCTTTTTGGGGACTTGCTCCCAAGGCTTCCTGCAACAGAGAGAGGCAGTGAGGGGTGAGTGCAGGGACAAAGGCTGGGCCAGACTCCTGACGGATGAGAAAAATAGTGATGACCACTACGCCTGCCATTTGTCATGCTCCAGGATGTGATGAACCAAAGTCGAATTTTAGCTTCTATTTACTGGCAAGTACCCCACTCCAGCGGAGCCCTGACGGCACAGTGGTTAAGCGTTTGGCTGCTAACCAAAACAGTTGGCAGTTCGAATCCATCAGCCACTCCTCAGAAACCTTATGGGGCAGTTCTACTCTGTCCTACAGAGTTGCTATGAGTCGGAGTTGACTCGACAATAATAGGTTTGGTTTGGTTTTTGGGTACCCCACTCCAGCAGTGTGCCAGCAGTGCCTTCACGTGGGCACATCAGCCCTTGGAGGGGGTCTAGGATCATCACCCATCTCACAAGCAAGGAAACTGAGGCTCAGGGGTGTGTGGCTGCCTGAGGTCCCATGGCAGGGAGTGGAGAAGTCAGAAACGAGATAAGGAAAGGTGGTGTGGTATGCAGAATTCTGACGGCCCCTCCGATTCCCACCCCTTGGGATGCACACCCTGTATAACCCTCTCCCACCGAGTGTGGGCAAGGTTCTGTGACTATGATGGACTATCGCTCCTGGGATTAGGTGACTTCGAGTTAATCAAAGGAGAGATCACTGAAATGCGCCTGACCTAATCGGAGGAGTCCTTAAAAAGTACTGGCCCTTGATGAAGTCAGATGTTCAAAGCTGAGAACATGAGGAGACATCTGGAGGGGGCCACATGGGAAGGACCTCAGATTTACAAACAGAAGAAAATGAAATCTGCCAACAACCTGAGGGAGTTTGGAAGTGGATCTTTCCTTAGTTGAGCTTCCAGATGAAGACACAGCTGGCCAGCACCTTGACTCTAGCCTTGAGACACTGAGCGGAGGACCCAGCTAAAATGTGCCAGACTCCTGACCCACAGAACATGAGACAATAAATTTGTGTGGTTTGAAGCTACTAAGTTGGTGGTAATTTATTATGCAACGATAGAAAATGAATTCGGTCAGCCTCAGAGGCTGTGCTGCCTGTTCAGGGGACATCCAAGAGCCCCAGGGGGTGGGAAGACATCCCGGAGGGCTGGCTTTGCTAAGGGTCCTGCTGCTCTCAGTCAGTCCTGCCCCTGCAGCCAGCCCTTTCCCCACAGTGGCTGTGGCTCAACACCCTGACCACGTGCCCCAGCGAGCTGAGGCCTCAGAGGGCCCAGGGCAGGATCGAGCCCACAGGCCAGGGGGCCCTTGTGGCCTCCCACACCAGCATGGCCTTGGGATCTGCCAGGTGGGTTCCTGAGCCCACTTGTGCAAGCTGTGGCCCAGCACAGGGGCAGGGGCTTCGGTGCACCTCTGTCTGATCCTCTAGGGCCTCCCCGCTCAGTTCCTGCCACGATGCTTCTGCAATGGCCCCACTCTGGCTGCCTCCTTGTCCTTCTCCTCCTGTGCTACAGCAGCAGGCTTCATGATCCTGGGCAAGTGACCTCACCTTCCTGTACCTCAATTTCCCCATCTGTAGCACGGGAACATAACAGCACCTTCCTCACGGGGTTGGCGTGAGGTTCTGTGCATTGCAAAGAGCTTGGCGCAACCCCCAGCTTTTAGTAATTGTTCAAAAAAATGGTAATGATGATCAGTGATGATCGGTATTATCCCAGAGCCTGGTCCGCAGCCCCCACCCACCCCATGAGGCCAGGCTGGAGCTGTGCTCTGCCACAAACACCCTGACAGCTGGTCCAGAGTCTCTCATCAGCTCCACTGCCCAACCTGACAACAAGTCTCAGCCCTAGAAACCCCAAGTCTGCTTCCTGGGAACCTCCTCAGGGCTCCTCTGACTGGGACTCTGCTCATCCATGCCCAATCCCAGGTGCCTGTCCCCTCCCACAACTTCCACCCTCCTCTCCAAGGGGCCACACTGCCCAGATCCTCACCCAAACCCGAGTTCAAATGCCCACAGCCACCTCCACCCGCTCATGGCCCTGCCACAGCCAGGTTCAAGTCCCAGCTCTGCAGTCGACTGGCTGTGTGACCTTAGGCAGGTCTTGTCCCCTCCGAGCCTCAGTTTCTTCATTTGTGAAGTGGAGCTAACAGCACTGCCTCCCACAGAGTCACCTGCTGTGGGGATTAAATGAGGTCATGTGTATCGAGTGCTAGGCACATCATAAATGCACATTCTGAACTTAATGCAGCGTCTCCTCCCCCAAACTGTCCCCATCTCCAAGTTCCGACGCTCCAGTGACTGCCAGCGGAGGCCATGTGCACCTGACGACCACATGCTGGGGCTTCTCCAGGTCTGGCTCTGCTCTCCTCTGCCATACGCTTTTCACTCTTTACTGGAATGTTCCCATCAGCATCCAAACACGCTGTGATTACTCCCATCTTAGATGGAGACCATCTTGACTTCCTTCTCCATCAGCCACATTTCTTTGTTCCCCTTTCGCCCAACAATAGTCTACACTTGCTGTCTCCATTTCCTCTCCTTCACCTCTCTTGAACTGCTCCAGTCTGGGTTTTTCTCCACCATGTCCCAAAACTGCCCTGCCACGGTCACCGAGGACTGCCGTCTTGCTTGACCCAGCAGCATTTGACCTGGAAGATCGTCCCTTTGGCCCTCACCTCATTCTCCACCTTCCTCCCAGCTGCTGTGTCTTCCTCACCCTTGACTCCTCTGAGGGTGGATGGAGAGCCAGCCCCACCTCAGACCTTGTGTTCTCTGTCCACACGTACTCCTTGGTGATCTCGGTCGCTGCAGCACCTCTATGTACCCTGGAGACTCCCAAATTCAGATCTTCAGCCTGGCCCTCTCCCCAGTCCAGCACCACATCCCCAACCACTTCCTCAACACCACGCATACAGTCTCACAGGCACCCTACATGCAAGCTGTCATCTTGTCCCCCAACCTGCCCCTTAGTTAACAGCGACTGCCACTTTCTAGGTGCTCGGGCCAAAACCTCGGGGTGGTCCCTCAGATCCACATCCACTAGCAAACTCTGTCATCCCTACCTTCAATAACTTCTCGCCACAGCCCTACCTGGCCCCACCCCTGTTATCCTCACCTGGACCAGGGCCGATGCCTCCTTCTTGGTCTCCTGGCTCCTGCCTTCATCCCCAGTCTCAAAGCAGGAATCAGTATGATTCATTTTTTGGTTAAAATTTTAAAATATAAAAAGAACAATTCAAACACACACAAAACTAGAGAGAAGAGTGGAGCAAACCTCCTTGAATTCACTGCCAGCTTTAACCATCAACTCCTGGCCAACCTTGTTTCACCTCATACCCTACCCGTTCCTCCCACCACACATACCCCTGAGACTGCTGCTTTTAAATATAAGCCAGATCACATCACTTCTCTGTTCAAAATCCTGCACTTAAGAAAAGACAAAAGAACAGCCAGGGCTCCCTTCTTCCTGCGAGGAAAAACTACAGTCCTCCCCCTACGGCCCACAAGGCCCTGCACACTCTGCCCTGTTGCCTCCCTGCCCGTCTCCCTCACTCTCTCCTCCCTCACCCTGCTCTGGCTGCCCAGGTCTCCTCACTGTTCCTTGTATTTACCAGGCAAGGTCCTGCCTCAGGGCCTTTGCACTGCTGTTCCTTCTGTCTCGAACATTCTTCCCTTGGCTATCTGCCTGACTCCTTGCCTCCTTCAAGTCTTTACTCAGATGCTATCTTCTCAATGTGGCCCAACCTAACTACCCTATTTAAACTTCCAACTCCTACTCCTGATTCCTATTTCCCAGTTCCACCTTCCCTCCCCACCCTCTCCCACAGTCCCTACCACTCTCTAATGTACTATTTGTTTCTTGTCTGCCTCTCTCCACCATAAACAAAAATGTCAGCTCCATGAAGCTGGCATCTTTGTTTTGTTCACTGCTGTATCCTCAGCATCTATAACAGTGCTTGGCACATAGGAGGTGCTCAATAAACATTTCTTAAACGAATGAATGAACATTGGAAATGTCACAGCTGACCATGTTTCCCTTTTCCCACCAGCTGCTAGGAAGCTCCAAGGCAAATTCATAGATTATTTTCCATTCTCTCTTCTTCATGTCTCTTGAACGCCTCTGGTCAGGTTTGGGCCCATCATGCCACAAAACTGCCCTTGTCACATTCCCAGTGATCTCTGCCTCACTTGATCTAGTAGCATTGACCCTGGCCCCACTGTGTCCCTTGTTTTCATCTCTCCTTTCATTCTGATTTTCATTTGTCTTCTTGTCCTTGTTTTACAGCTCTTGAACTGAAATCCTTCCAGGTACGACAGACTATAAATAATTAAACACAATTCTATCTCTGGTCATGTCTACTTCCCACAGGAGACCCTCACTCAGGTTAGTGTAGTCTCCTGACTAGCCATGTTGCCCTGGGGCCAGGTTTTTGCCACACACTGCCTGGCAGCCCCCAAGTCCTACAGGCCCACACAGCTCAAGCTCAGCCAAATCAAGCTTCTGCAAACATCACCTTCAGCTTAGGAACCTCTAGGGACTCCCTCTGGCCAGTGGTCCTTAAGCCTAGCTGGACATCCAAGATTCCCCAGGGGCTTCTCTGAAAAAAAAAAAACAAAACACTGGGTCTGCAAACCCACTCAGACTAACTGAATCAGATTCCCCAAGGATGGGGCACTGGCTTGAGGTTTTTAAAACTTTTAAAGGGCTACTGGATGATGCCCAGCTACCATTACTGAACACTTTGATCAAAGATTCTATAGAAGAATCTTGATTAAAAAGGGGAAAATACAGAACAGAATTTAAAATTCTCACGGAATCCAGATTTTCTGGAGCCATGGAGGCTGGATAAACCCCTGAAACTACTGCCCTAAGATAATGTTTAAACCTTAAACCAAAAATATTCCCTGAAGTCTTCTTAAAACCAAATAATAGTTTAGATTAACTAGTAAAAATGTCTGTCTTAAGAATTATGCTCCTTTAAGAACTATCTATATGGGATCAGAGTGACAACAGCAACTTGAGAGACTAGATAGGAACCTTAGGGAGCAGAGAGTTTATGTTAATTGGGGAGGAACAACTCAGAAAAGGAAGGTGAGAATGGTTGTACAACGGGAAGAATAGAATCAATGTCACTGAATTGTACATGTATAAACTATTGAATTGGTGTATGTTTTGCTGTGTATATTCTCAACAACAACAAAACTTTTAAAGGGCTCATTTCCTGCCCTGCTGGTGGGTACAAACCAGCCTGCCACCCGGTGTGGGCACTGGGGGAACTATTTGGCAGGATCTAGTTGATTCTTGACTCTCAGAAACACCCCAAGAGAAACATGTGAACCGTGTGCAAGGGAAAACTGGGTAGAACAAGACTTTCCCTGCAGCACTGCTTCTGATAGAGAATAAACGCCATAATCGACTGCTCACTGTGTGCCAGGCACTGTTCTAAGGCCTTTGCGTATTTTAACTAATTTAACGCTCACGTCAACCTATGAGGCAGAAAGGGACAAACTCCACCCGCACTGCTCATTCTCAAGATTGAGACTTGGCAGCTGGGGTTTCCCCTTCACCTGGGGCCCAGGGATGGGCCTAGGGCAGTGCCCCTGGGCTGGGGTGCTCCCCAGGAGCCAAGAGGTTTAGAAAAATTTGGTCTGGATTGTGAAGGGTACCCCTCTGTGTGGGCCCATGGTGGGCGTGGCCTAGGGTTGTGGGAAGGGGGCCGTACGCAGCCCCAGGTGGGGCACTCCTATGGGAGGCAGGACTGGGTACCCACTGCGTCCAGTCAGAGTCTGGGGCAACTCTGTGAGGGTTTCAAGGGGTGAAGCCTGTGAGATCCTACAGCCCGCTGAGGTCTCGGGGGAAGGGCCATCCGGCCTAGGACCGGGCAGTTAAACCGCTTGGGGGCGGGGCTTGTGTCAAGATTGGGCAATCAGGGACATAGCGGGCGGGGCCAAGTGCCCAGGAGGCAGGCCGAGAAGCTGGGCGCATCCCTAGGATTGGGCAGTCGGAGCGATGGGAGGCGGGGTCGCGAACCAGGCGCGTTCGGGGACCGGCAGTCAGAGACCCAGGCCGGCGGCCTGGCCCCTGGGCGGGGCTCACAGGTGCCGGGGGCAGGGCCTCGAGGCGGAGGGGGCGGGACCAGACTCGGCGGGGGATGGGGGCGTCTCCTCCCTCACTCCCTCCCTCCTTCGTGCCGGGCCCCCTCACCCGTGGCGGCCGCAACGCTGGCCGCGCTCCAGCGAGATGAGGTAGGCGGCGAGCTTGGCGTCGCTCCAGCCGCTGCGGCGCCGCAGGTCCACCCAGGGCCCGTGCGCCTCGCCCAGGTACACGCGCCGCACGTCGTACTTCTTCCGGGACTCGAGCCGCCGCCGTGCCCGGTCCGACTCCGTGAGCCGCGGCCGGCCGCGCGCCTTGCGGCCCGCCGCGCCCTCCTCGGCCGCTGCCTCCCCGCCTGCGCCCGCCTCAGCCTCCGCCCCGGGCTCCGGCGCCCGCTCCGCCATCCCCCCCTCCCTGGTTACCAGCCTCCCCCGTTGTTAGGAGCCCGACCGGAAGTGGCGCGCATGTTCCGCGCCGCCGGGAAATTTCTCATGGCCTGTGTCTGCCCCGTGGCGCCAAAAGAAGAACGAGAGCGAGAATTGCGCATGCGTAAAATACCCATTCGCTTACTTTTAACCTCTAAATCTTACAATTTTCTAGCTTTGCATGGAATATAGGACAGCCTAAAGATGTGGGGCCAGCCCTAGGAAGGCAGAGCCAGAAGAGCTCTTAGACCCTCAGAGAAAAGGTTTCTCCCTCGGCGCCTTTATCCTGAAGGCATCCTGGGGATGACATGGAAAGGTGAAAGCAGAAGGGAAGGTGTGGGGTGCGACCCATCAGTCCTGGACGCTGGAGAGTCCTTAAAAAGTGGCGCCAGTAGGCATTAAAGGGATAGGTTTTGCCTGTTCATCGCTGGCCGCCCCATCTGAGTTCTTGGGGAGGGGATGCCACACTGCCAGAGAGGAGGGAAGACAAGAAAACTTCTATTTGCTGTAAGCTCCAAGGTCGTCTCATGCTTTCACGCCAGTCCAGTCTCCTCGGCCATAGCCTATGCTCCAGGCTCAGCTCTGGCCTTGCTGCTGCCGCCGCTGCAGGTTGTCATCCTCTTCCTCCTGGCCCTGTGCTGGTGGCGGTGGTGGCGGCTCCTCCAGGCCTGGGGAGGCTGCCAGGAGCTCCCCAGTGGACCCTGCCAGGCGGAAGACCACCGGGATCCGGGCCAGGGCAGGGTTGGTCTCCTGCAGGCCCTGGATCCACTTGGCCAGTGTGGCCTGGTCGTGGGCACCCGCCATGCACATGGCGAAGACAGGGCCTTCCTCCACTGTTGGGAGAGAAGGGCCCTCAGAGTTTGTGCGGTGGGGGCTGGAGCATCTCTCCCGTACCCCACAACCCCTTCAAGGCCGAGGGCAGGAGCTTTCAGCTTTCTTTCGGCTTTCTTGTGCCTCCAAGCCTTTGAACAAGCTATCCTTTCTGCCTAGACTGCCCTTCCCATGCTTTACCTGGGTGATACCTTCAGGTTCTTCAGAAAGCCCTGCGACCCGCCCCAACTCTGTGTCCCTCCCCTGGGCTCCCAAGAACGGAACCTGCATAGTCCCCTGCTAGTCTGAGCTGCTGAAGGCAGAAACTGGGTCTGTTCTAGTCACACCCAGTAGCCAGCACAGAGGGAATAACACAGAGTACATAAATGTGTGGAGGGAATAACCAAGGGTTCACAGCCCTGGTGGCCTCTAGCTAGAGTGTGGTGTCTGACCGTGGAGTGTGGCTGCGCCGCCTCAGGCCTGGAGCTCCTGAGGCCTGGGAGTGTGTGTGTACAGGTGCCTCTGCTGGGTCTCTGTGTGGCAAGTGGGCTGTCTCAGCCTGGGCCCCACCTCTCAACACCTCCCCCACCCCATGCCACACCTCATCCTGTGTGGTGTTTGGAGTTCTGCCCCTCCCACTTCTTACCTTCCTCGATGTCAAACTCGTAGTCATCCCAGCTGCTCCTCCCATAGTCCAGGTCCAGCTGCATGGGGTAGTAGAGGTTCCACTCCTCTGGAATCTCCTCCACTTCCTACTCCAGAAGGGAAGGTACAGGTAGGGTTGGAAGTCAGTGAGCTTACAGCCACCTGCCTGACTCCAGCCTCCCAGCAGCTGCCTTGCCCCAGCCTGCACCTCGGAGCCCCTCACATGAACAGCCCCCTCCCCAGCCCCCACACTCACCCTCTCCTCGGGGGCCAGCAAGTCAGCTCTGAGGATGTGGTAATAGACACACTTATCTTGGAGCCACAGAGAGAAGGGGCCCTCAACGAAGATAGGCCGGGCTGGGTTGTGGCAAGCCAGGGCGGCCTGCTGATCAGGACTCTGGATTCCTGGTGTGGAGACACGCATGCCCTTGTGCCCTGGCTGAGGGGCTCTGCCTCCAGGCCCCAGGAGCCCACCCGCTGGGAACCTGGCAGAGGCTGGGGCAGGTGCAGGCCTTACCTACAATGTGGGGCTGGGTGGGATCCGCTGCCCCTGTAGAGTCTTTGGACAAAGGCATCTGCAAGGAAGAGTGTAGGTGGGAGCCTGCAGCTCCCACACCTACAGTGGAGCTGGGGAGAAACCGGGAAGGGGGAACCCTGCGAATTCAAGGCACCTCTCGGGCCATCTACTGGGCCTTGTACACATCACTCAAACCCACCTCCTCATTTCCATCCAATTTAGCAAAAGCCATCAACATTTAAGATGCTTACACCAAGGGAACCCTGGAGCTGGCCCATCTGTGTTAAAACCCTGGCTCTGCCAGAAGCAGTGTGACTTTGGCCAAGTCAGTTTCCCTGTGTGCCTCAGTTTCCTTCACTGCAAAATGGGGATGAGAATAGCATTGATTTCAGATGGTTCTAAAATGCTTAGAACAGTGCTTGGCACATAGTAAGTGCTAAGTGCTTGTAAAACTAAGAGAGAAAAATAACTTCACATGCACAGAAGATCCCAGGAAGGAGATACGAGAAGAAAGTCCCCGCGCTTGCCTCCGTGGAGAACAGCGGGGGAAGAAATACCCTTTTGTGTCTTTATACCCTGAACATGATTACTTGTTCAAAAAACTAAATGAAATTTACTTTTTAAAAAAAAATGCCCGTACATTTTGACCAAAACATCCAACGGTGGACAAATGCTGACGTACATTGTTCATCCTTTCAGGTTAAAAAGAAATGAGATGGCCAGATGGGTACTTAGAACGGGCTCCAAACCACGTAATTAAGTGAGAAACAGCAAAGAGCAAGGTGCAGAACTTGTGTACAACACTAAGCATTTAGAAAACATTTTTAAAAGTACATGTTTTGCTGCTAGGCCTCTTTACTGAATGCTTAGTGTATTTATATTGCCGTTTCATTTCAAATTTAACCTTCTGGAGTTTTTGTCTTAACTTTTTGATGGTATATTCTCTTTTTCTCTTATACTAAAACTCTTGGTTCCTGTCAGCAGTATAAGGAGCCCTAGTGGTGCAGTGGTTAAGTGCTCGGCTGCTAACTGAAAGGTTGATGGTTTGAACCCACCAGCCACTCCGAGGGAGAAAGACGTGGCAGTCTACTTCCATAAAGATTTACAGCCAAGGAAACCCTATGGGGCAGTTCTACTCTGTCCTATCGGGTTGCTGAGTCATAATCGACTCGACGCAACGGGTATCAGCAGTAATACATGCACTTGATTTATCCTTCAATACACATCAAATAGCTTCAATCTTTCTACTAACCATAAAGTGATGGAATTAAATTTGGGATTACTCTGAGTTGTTTCCTGTTCTTGGGATACAAACATCGAGGACGGGCAGTTGGATGAGCGGGTTCAACAGTAATTCAGAATCTTTTTTTTTCTCTCTATGCTTATGTTATCAATTAGAAACTTAATCACATTTATCCGTTTTTAATGTCTGTTTTCTTCATTTTTTGGTTTTATGTTTCTGAATACATTAAACATTTACCTAGTTTAAAAGTCGACCCATATTAAAAGAGACATCTCATTTCCATCTCTGTCCCCTCTACCCCATCCTCCAACACCTCCTGGAGATAATTCTTTGTACTCACTTCCAATTCGTTATGTCCACTGTTTCTTATTATGAAGTAAGCAAATACGTACACGCACTTCTGTATCTCCTCCCTTCTCACACTTAAGGTAGCTCGCTAGACACTGCTCTTCATCCTTTCAACTGCTTTGTCATTTCCCTGGCCGCTCGGTGCCCTAAAACATGGAGACGCCATAGTGCACATGGCCAGTATCTCTGGATGACACTGGCGTTGTTTCCACTCAAAATCTAGGTGCTGGGGTAGAAGGGTAGTCATTTTACCAGGGTTTCAACTTTTCTATATGTATTTTTCATAATGAGCTGAGGATGTGGAAGAATATTTAAATGAAAAGGATATACATAAATAAAAAGATATATCTGCTTGCAAATGGATAGACTCTGGCTGGAAGGAGACACGGTGCTCGTAAGGGCGGTCACCCCCAGGGGAGGAGACTGGGGGCTGTCTGCTCTTGTGCACTGTCTGGCTTGTTTACCGTGTAGATACATTACTTACCAAAACAAAGACATGAAATAAAAACTACCCGTCTTCTCCATTCTGCTGCTACACTCAAGGCCAAGTCTGGGTCCTCTCTCACCTGGATACTGCAGTCACCTCCTATCCTGCCGCCCTCCGTCCTCTCGCCCCACCACCATCCAATACCATCCACACAGCAGCCAGAGGGAGCTTTTGAAATTGCGAATCTTTCCAGAACCATGACTCCGACTCCATCACTCCTCTTCTTAAAACATCCCCGTGGCTCTCCCCACCAACCAACAGGTTTCAAACCATGCTCTTTAACCTGGAGTCCCCCCATGCCTCTTCTTCCCCACCTCCAGCACCCTGGTGCCCATGCCTTGGCCACAGGAAGCACTTTCAGCATCCCCAGGGATTCCCAGCCCTTGCACATGCTGCTCTCTGCCTGGAATGCTCTCCTTGCCCCTCCCATCCTGCCAAAGCTCACCTTAGTCTCACCTCCTCCAGGAAGTCTTCCTTGACTCCTGCCTCCTCTGGGTTCCCACTTAGAACCAGTGCCTCTGAGGGAAACTTATCTGGGGCTTTCTGTGAGGGACGTTCTTTGGATGCCCAGTATGGCCTGGCATGAGTGGGGCCCCCAGGATACTGGGGGTACTTCATTCAGTCATTCAACAAACAACTGCTGAGCATCAGCTTTGTGCCAGACCCTGTGCTGGGCACCTTGGGAGACACATGGGAGACTGAGTCATGGTTTTTTCCACTTGGGGAGCTCTGGCCTAGTGGGCAAGATAGATGTGAACGAGGAATCAAATAAATAAACGTGCCTAGTACAGGGAAGGGGTGGGTGCCTCAGTCAGGCTGGTCAGGAAGGGTGTCCTAAGGGACAGTGGAGCTGAGACCTAAGAATATGAAGTCCTTGGGGGAAGTCTTCCTAAGGGAAGAGTGTTCCTGGCAGATGGAACAGCAAGTGCAAAGGCTTGAGGTGGGAACTGGCACAGAATGCTCAAGAACAGAAAGGATGGCTATTGCCTAGAATATGGTGAGTGTGGGGAGAGGGCCTGGAGCAGAGGTCAGAGGCCAGCAGAGCCTTGTAAGCTGTGGTGTGGAGTAAGGGCCATGACAATCCACTGGAGGGTTGAAGCAGGGAGTCAGGTCTGTGTAAGCTGTGGTGATGAGTAAGGACCATGACAGTCCACTGGAAGGTTGGGGCAGGGAGTCAGGTCTGTGTAAGCTGTGGCAAGGAGTAAGGGCCATGACAGTCCACTGGAAGGTTGGGG